GAATTCGTATTCATGTTACCATGAATGAGGATGGGTTCATTGACAGGGGACTTGAGATATTGTCCATGAAAACCTGAAGGTGTTTTAAACGCCAAGTACGCTCAGGCAAACCTTTATTCTGGCTTAATGCTCCTATTCGTAATGGTTTATTTGCAGAAGGCTTTGTCTATACATACGTAAGTCATTCAGACCAGACCAAAACACTTGGTGTGTTCAATGAATTCATCGAAAACTTTTTCTCTGTAATAAATTATTATGTCATATTTAAGAGCTGTAGCATATTCCTCTTCCTGGTAGAACACCTCTACCCCACTTTTCCCCCCATATGGAGCAAGTAAAGAGGATTTTCCTCTTCGAATAAGATTTTTTCTCTTTCTTATTGCTTACGAGAGTAATGATATGCTTTACAGAAACCTTGTCTGAGGACAGTGGAATTCCCATCAGTATCACTTATTTGAAAGGTGTTTTATTCTATTTTAAATTGACAAATATTTTTCAGAGGCATGGAAGACATATAAAAAATCCTTTAAATTGCACAATTAACTTTAAAGTGTAGGACCATTGATATGGTACAAATAAACAATGGCAAGTCCTCATCTTGGATCAAAGAAATATTTGTTGCTAAGAATATTCCCTCTGATTGCATCTGTATTTGATTATTCTAATTGATTAAACAGGAATCATAATATGCAAATAAACTCAGAATATAAAGAGGCATTAATTCAGTTTAGAGTTCAACCTGATATTGTAAACTTTTCACTCTGCATAGGACTTTGCTAATACTTTATGTAGAACACAAACCAGGCCAGTGCCTAAGAGTGTTCTGAAATGAAAAAGGCACTCTGGAGCATAGTGGATATGTTATTGGGAAGGTGACTTGGAGGGATTCCATTACAAATGATTTCTTTAGTAATCTGAAATTTAATGCCTTTGGTTATTTTTCACTACCAATATTTAGTATTACCCCCTACAAAGCAAGAAGTTAAGAGGATAAAGTAAAAGGTAATTTTAGACTTTGCTTTGAAGTCAAATCTTAAGTAAGTACCTTTCTGAGTTTGTCTTTATTTTCCTTTATGTGATTGTTCACATAACTGTTTACATTTGTATTTCCCTCCAGTCTAGACATAGAAACTTTGTTGAATAAGTAAAATTTGTTTTAAATCTGCATGCCTAATAATTTATTTTCTAATGTTTATTTCATTCATTGGTCATGATTTTTAAAATATTGTTATAGGCAAGATATAATAAATATTTAAGAAATTGTTATGCCTCATTAAACTTCTTCAAATCATGCCTGGAACTTATGGCAAGACCAAATAAGGAATTGAAAGAACCCATGGAATTAAAATTTGAAACTTTTCTGTAACAGACATTAAATTTGGCTAATATATGAAAAAAAACACAGAAACCTCATTTTACATAATTATCACCACTTGCTAATAGCTTGCGTGATTTGAAGTCCCTGAAATTCATGACTACTCAGCAATGTGTTGTAACATTTTTGTTGCTTCCAGAAACTGCCAACTAGGTGAAGAAGACCACTGGATTTACCAGGCTATTGTGGATCAGTACTCTGGAGATCTCGTTGGCAGAAGGACTCTGTATCTGGACATGTTACAAAGATATTATCCTCACAAATCTAGGCATGATTTGGTGAGTGCTGAACTCTACCTATAGTATGGCAAATTAAATTGTTTTAGTGGTCAATAATTATTAAGCAATAGACATATATTTTAAATGGTGCTCTAAAAATTATTTTTCCCTACATTCTAGAAAATAATGGGGTTATAAGTTGAAAGCCTATGCAGGTCATTTATAAAAATTCTTTACAGTCCATGAGAAGGTAGGGGCCCCTTTGGCCACATTTACTCTTTCTGTGCTTACTTGCTGCAGAGATCTTCACTGTGGCTCCCAAGGCTGCTCTGCTAGCATTTGACCCCCATGTGTCCATATAGTCACCTGCCTACCCTCAGAGATTCTGCCATCTCCAGGTCTGGCCTGAAAGTAGAGTGCCTGCTTCTCCATCCACAGAGCGTGGCACACCTCAATCCTAGCCATGGGGAAGCCAACCCTTCACCCTGGGGGCTGGCTCTTACCTCTGTCTACCCCGTGACAACTCTGCTTGATCCCCCAGTTGGGTCTGAAATACAAATACCCCAAATACAGAATGAAAAGATATGATTGAAATTTCCCTGAGAAGGAACTGGGAAATTATTGTTTTGTCCTTTAGTCAGCAAGACCACAAAGGCAAGAAAACAGAAGTTAGCATGTCACCAATTAATTTCACAATAATTTGTCTTGTAACATGTATGTGAACAAATACACAGACTCTAATTTTTAAGTAAACTGTGCTATAAAATATTATCATATGTTCTGTAATTTTTTTTGAATTAAGCAAGTAACAACAACATTCACACGTGTATAGAAGTCACTGTATAATTTACAAACATTAAATGACTTGGCCTCAGTCTCTAGATAGCCACCTGCTCAGAATTCCGAAGAGAGTACCTGGTTCCTGGTTGCTGTATTTACTATTAAGGTGTTTGTCCCCAATTTTTGAAAATCATTTGTTGTATTTCATTTTATTTATTTTTGTAACAAAGCCATAAAATATAGGCTCATTTTCCTAATAATAAGTATTCACCATCTGTTATCTTTTCAGGTCAAACATGAGAAATATTGTGACCAGTATCGCTTTGCTAGGGAGCAGCGAAGGATCCTGCTATCAAATTGGAATAAGAATAGGAAAGACTTTATACAGAAGGCTGTGCTGACCCTCATCGAGGCTTGTGCAACTCATGAGATGGAAAGCACGTTGGCTAAGGACAGGAAAAAGCAACAGGAATTGTGTGCTGATCTGAAAGCCAAGGTAAGATGCTTCACAGGTGTTTCGGTATTTGGGTATTCATTTAAGAACTCACTTTTCCCTTTTGTTCAAACCCAACCTAAAGTTTACTTTCTCTAAAAAGCCTATCTTGAATGAACTGTTAGTTTGAATCATTTGAAATTGCAATTTAATATTTAGGTCAAAAATAGTCAACAATTTCCCATGGTTCAACCATAAGTTATTACAGCAGGATGTTAATATCAAGGTTTTGATGGAGACATCCAACACCAACCATAGATGCTGCACAGCAGACCAAGATGCTGGACAAAAATGCAAAGTGTAATTATGAAGTAACTGTCTAATGCTGATGCAAAGACTCTTGGACTTCTCATTCACATCAAAGACATTAGAAAGGTCAGGTTTTAGAGGAAAGAAGATTGGTGAGGAGATACTTTAGGGCAAGCTTTCAGGGCTGCGCGTGAGCCCTCAACCAAGTGTGGGTGAGTAGATGAGGTTTTCCTCCTCCGCAGACCCAGGACTGTCTGGGGAACTCGCAGATGGCGTGGAGACTTAATGGAAAACTCCTGTAGTTGAGAGGACTGAGGATTGGCATCTGATGATCACAGGGAAGAACAGAGTAGCTGCCTCGGTGGCAGAACTGAAAGCAGGAGTGGCTTCTGTGTCAGGAGAAACTGCATTCCCAGACCAGCTGCAGGTGCGTGAGGCCTGGAGGCCTGATATGGATACGAACCCCCAGGAGCGTTGGTAGGAGTCATTAAAAACAAATGTATTGAGGTATAACATCCATAAAGTGCACAAATCTTGATTTATTGAGAAATGATATGGTATGAGGATGATGGCACAACAAATTTTATTCTCTTGATAGAAAAAAACCTGGCAGCCATTAAGCTATAGCAATTAATAGCATATGAACCAAAGGTCTCTGTTTTAAAACAGTGGAGCAAAAATGCCTTCTCTACATTTTTTCAAAACAAAAGTATATATTTTTTGACATTGCATAAGCTTGGCATCTAAAATAAATAGAAGCTGTGTCAAGGCTGATCTACCCTGGGTTACAGAGCTAACGCATGCTTCTTCTCAGCTTCGGGCTGATCAGAAACATACAGGGGTCAGGGGCCAAGACAAGTCCTGTATTCCTAGTTTGTTTACATTCATTTTGCACACATTATCATTAGCCCTTGAGCTATGCTGTAAGTGATATTTTCTTTGTATCATAGTGAACTGAGGTAAACATATCAAATACATGCAGTAAAGTGCACAGTATTTACATGTATTACTGGATGAAGTTTTACACACACATATATGTATGTATATATATATCTCCCTGTGTGAACACCCACTGAGATCAAGATATAGAACGTTTCCTGCAGCTCAGAAAGCTTCCTCATGCCTCTTCTCAGCAAATACTACCCCCACCTGTAACCACTATTCTGACTTCATCACCATGGATTGGTTTTTATTCTTCAACATCATACAAAGCAAATCGTATATACAGTATATGCTCCTGTGTACTTGCGCTCGTGCCCATTTCATCCTTGTTGCATGTTATAGTAATTTGTTCTTCTTTATTGCTGTGTAGTGTTTCATTGTATGTGTATATGTTTTCCTATTAATGGAAATTTGAGTTGTTCCCAGGTTTTTGCTATTATGATAATGGTGCTATGAACATTTTTGAACATGTCTTTTGGTGGATGTTTGCAGTCATTTCTATTGGATAGATACTTAGGAGCAGAATTGTTGGATCATAAGGCTCAGGTGTGTTTAGCTTTAGTCAATACTGCCAAATAGTTTTCCAGAGTCGTTATACAAATTTGCAACCAGTTTCAATTGCTTCACATCTTCACCAACATTGGTGTTGGTGATTTTTAATTTGATCTACTCTGGTGACTGAGCAGTTGTACCTCATTATGGTTTTCATTTGCACTTAGAATAAAGATGTTGAGCAACTTTTTTTTTTTTTTTTTTTTTTTACAAAGTCTCACTGTGTTGCCCAGGCTAGAGTGCCGTGGCGTTAGCCTAGCTCACAGCAACCTCAAACTCCTGGGCTCAAGCGAT